AATAATAAATACATCAAGAAACTTTGAATTTGTTATTTTTACGTGGTAGAACTACGCTGAGGCTATATTATAACTGTTATCAAATAAAAAGAAAAATAATAATCATAGAAATTTCATTGTTATATCTATTATGAATCTATCTATCCCAGGGACATACGACTTCTACGGTTTTAACTTCTACACAAGCAGACTAATCCGTAAAACTAGAGATGGAGGAACCCTCTCAAGCTGGCCGCTGGGAAATGGCTCTCCAGAACTTTGTGCTGCCATGGAAGTATACGCCTCACAAAAAAATGTTAGTATTTTTTTTAAATAGGCAAGTCTGCGTTTTCTGAACATGAACAGGATCGCTACATCCGATTTGATAGAACCAAATCCTCCCAAAGATCACCGATTCCTTGATCTATTGTTTTCAAAAAACATCCTAATTTCAATAGAGAAGTTGGCTGGGCACCACCATCCTCTTGGGATCCTATAATTAATAAAATGTAAGCCCGACCTAAGCCCACAACTGCAGGACTTCAAGGTACTATAAGTTCGTACTGAGTAGATCAGACCAAAAATTAATAATGAAAAAATAATAATTTCAAACTGAAGGTAATCGTGGTTATCTATGACATTGGGACGTCGAACACCTTAGGCCGTGACCATACTGTAAAGTAGGTACTCGAAACGTCGGGAATTTAAAATAGGTAAGTTGATACACGCGATATAATTCGTAAACATAGTCTCATTTAATATGTTAGTAATTATCTTAGACTAGTGATCTGCCCAGGCTTCGCACGAGTGATTTTTGGATCTCGACGACAGTGTTACCTACTGGGACCTATTGTGAATCTAAATCTTTAAAACCACTCAAGCAAACACAAAAAAAATCATTAAAATCAGTCGAAAAATTTTTGAGATTTAGCGAGATGAACGGACAGCAATAAATTTTTTTCATAGAGATTTTATCACAAGTTACAGTTTCAGAACAAAAGAAAATTTAGAAGATATTGTTTTTTATTAACTCGGGCGGTCTCATGAGACCGCTAGGGGATTGAGCGGTATGTGATTATTATTCCTAATTCTGCCTATCCTTGACTTCTACCTATCCTTGACTATGCTGATATTTACTATCTTTACATTACCGAGGAGCAGCTTAATAAGCTTGAGCGCATTTAAAATTTATGTCTTAGATTTATATTTGGGCTTCGCAAATATGATCATTTCTCCGAATTTCGCAAACAGCTCAAATGGCTCCCGACCCGCCTTCGTAGGAATACTCACATTCTCTCCGCATTCTATGGCGTGCTGTTTAATCCCTCCACTTCTCATTATTTAAAAGACAAAGAAAGTTTCCGTTTTATTTCCCTTACCCGTAATAGGTTCCTTCAATCCTCTGTCAATCTTTCTCTCCTTACTCCTTTGCACTCTTCCTCCTCTTTTTAAGAAATCCTTTACTGTAACTGCTGTGAGTTTGTGGAACTCTTTACCTCTCCACATTCGCTGTGTTAAATCTCTTCACTCTTTCAGAAGTCTTGTTGATTGATGTTGTAATTATTTTAGTAAAAGTAAAAAAAAAATATGTTGCGGAGAGCTACCCTGTGTAATATCGAGATATATAATGTCACGGTTAGTTTGCCTATTTCATCTATTATTGTATTATCTTGTATTTACTTCTAACTGTTTAATGAGTTCCATTCATGTTTTATGGAATCCTTACCAAGAAATATATTTGTAATGATAAAATACAACGCAAAATAAAATTTTATTAAATACTAAAAGGCGATTTCAAAGATCTAAAAAGAATAAAATAATTCACTCCAAATAGATTCGGAAGTCATTGTCAAGACATACCTAGTATTTAGAAGATTTAAGGTCCTGAATTAGGAAATTGTTTTAATTTTTAGATTTTTTTAAATCAACTTTTAATTAATATTAAAAGTTTAATTTTTATGACCATTTAGACGGGACTAAGGAATTCAAGATCTTAGGAATATGGTATATGTAGACATAGACATAGATAAAGTTTTATTAGCATCAATAAACTCAAAAAATATACATTTAGAAGTAAATAAGAACATAAAAACACACAAGGTGGTAAACACAATTGACAATACATTTCGGCAAGAGTGAGTGATGTGATGCCAAAAAGGATTCCTTCTCAGCATATGCTACCACAGGTACTGCAGCAGCGCTGATTTTCAGCGGAGCTATGATAAGTATTAATTCGATATTGCGCCGCATCGCTATCGGTACTAACTTTCCATTTAAAAAATAATGAATTAACCATTCACTCAAAGTATAAATTTTTAAGTATAAACATAAAAGTAAAAGAATACACATACATATACGTGCATATACACACCCACACATAAAATATATTGTATATTATACACACATTAATTATCCATATGTATTTTTAAATGATATTTCTAAAATAACCTGCCACTACACGTGAAATCATGATTTTTGAAATGGTTAAAAGTGTTTTTTTTTAATTGAGCTTCAAAACTGTTTACAGATTTAGTTTCCCGTATAGGTGGTAGTAAATTATTCCAAAATTTAGTGGCCATGTACCTAAAACTGCTACGAAACTCGGCTATTCGATGATATGAGATTCCCAGAATTGGTGTTTCCGTTCTGATGCTTAGACTGCTCATCTGCTCTCATCTCATCTGCTGTTCTCCGTTTTAAGTTTTTGGGTGTTCTACATGATTGGCCTGCATGCTGATCCCTGTATACAGCCTTTGTTTATGGATCATCTAACTTGCTCTCCCGCATATCCTTGCCGTATCTCCTTGTCGGATAAGTAGCAGGTATAAGCCTTAGCATTGATGGTTCTACCTGTTTGGCTTGAAATTCGTTAACTATCACTGGCCACCACGCATTGTCTAATGCGCCTTCGATGTCCAGTGATACCAATACTACTATCTATTTTACTTAGCCATCTCCATTTTAATTTTGAAAGAGGTATTCTGGTATTTCTGATTTTATGCATCCGAATAGAAGCATAGCTAGATGTAAATCCCTCCTCAATGACATCCTTAATATGTCAGACTTATGAAGACGTGACTATAATGAGAAATATTAAAGATGTACCTTGTACGTGCTTTTTGCACCATTTGTATTGACCTATTTGTTTTAGCAAATAGTCTAGGATCATACACATTATCTGCGTACCCAGCGGGTCACTCACATAGGAGTAAGCGAACACACACAGATATAATCACGCACTTGGTACAGTACTTTGAGTATATAAAAACAGTTGCGTGTGATCTCAAGTACATGATTCTCAAAACGAAGATCCTGGTCCATCAGAAATCCCAGATTCTCTCTCTCTCTCTCTCTCTCTCTGAAGTCTCAAACTTTCCACCGGTTCTCCACATATGCTAATAATAAATTTCTTTTTCATTATACGATCAACCAGTCTCTTTGACCCCAGCAATTAGAATGAATTTGGATTTGCTTGGGTTGAGCACAAGTGTATTTGCTTCTGACCATAATGAGATGCGATGCAAATCCTCATTTATTTTTGCTACTGCATTTTATTCTTCGCCAGGAAATAGTGGGAGATAAATCTGTATATCATCGTCGTATAGGTGTAACTTAATGTGCTTTATATGACGACGTACGTCCGCTGTGTATAAAATAAAAATAAGTGGACCAAGTGTAGATCCTTGAGGTACTCCCCTGGTTACAGGACATAGAGACGAGCACAGCTGAGTGCTGATTGGATAAGTAGCTGTCGAACAATCGAACAGCGGGAAATTCAAAATCATAGTAACTCATTTTGGATAACAGTAAGGGAATATTAATGGCATCAAATGCCAAGCAAGACCAGTAACGTGCCCTGTCCATTATCTTGTGATGTCAAGATGTTATTAACCACATCCATTAAGGCTGTTGATGTTCTTTTCTGAACTTGGATTGAAAAACAGGTAATATAATATTACACTCCTAAAAAGTTGAAAGCTACACACATGCAATATTTTCTCCAGAACTTTTGATAGGCAAAGTAGAATACTAATTAGCCGTAAGTTCTATATATATTCTGTATTCCAAGCGGCGGGAAAAGTAGATGTGCGAAGTGATGCATTTATAATGGCCGTTATAACTTTGAGTGTACGTGGAAACGTCAGGAGAAATTCATTCCCTATTTGTCCGATCTTTCGATGTGGAATTTTTTCACCCAATTTATGAGAGACTATCTCTGAAGTTTAACCTACTTAATTAAAAAAAGGACCATTAAATCAGTTCAAAATTAACGAAGAGTACTTGTGTGACCGAACTTTTCTCGGCGTTAGAAATACTCGGAAAAATTAACGGCGTAGTGGAATAGAAGATCTACATTTTAGCCATTAGCTGTTAAGAAGGCAATCTCTGTGGTAAAACCACTAATTATGTAGCGCGGGCAAGTCCATTTTGTTGGTATATGCGTGAAAAACTGAGAAAAGAAATTTTCTCAGAAAAGAGATTACTAGTATAAATATTTTTTTAATTTACGGCGTTATTTCTCAAGAAATAACAAATTTTAAACTTATGTTCAAATTTTAATCTTAAATGAAATAGATAATAATATACAGGTATTAGGAGGTATTAGGATTATCCCAAATTGAATGCTATTTATGGGGAACGACGTTTTTACCTACCGATCGACCCTTACGAATATGTGCATTTATCAGTTCAAATAATGCATTACCACGCATTTTGAATTTAAAAGGTAAAAAGGGCATAATGTTTGAAATTTTTTAAATTATTCTTTCTTCACCATTTGGCCGGCTATTGCAAAATAACCCTGGGATATTTCGTCAAATATATTGTTTTTCTGTTACATATATTTTAGCTGTGTATATGTATATAGGTAATTAATCAAAATATAGTACAATACTATGTTATTTTGTATCAATGCCAACTCTAATGATATTAGAATAATATTCTTGCTTATCAAATGGGTTGCGATAATTTAGAATTGTCTAATATAAGGAGGGTAAACAAACGCTAATGTAACAGAGAAATTGAAAACAGTATTCGACATGTCAACATTACAGGCGGTCGTTTTGTGGTAAAGTTTTTCATGATTTTATTTTTATTCCATTTTTTTAAGAGAACAAGAGCCTTACTTAATTTAATTTAGTTTTGAAATTATTTCAAGAAGAGTATTTTAAGCAACTGCAAGTGAACGATGTGAGCTCGTCGTCCATTGCCTAACTTCATGGCACATAATAAAATAATAGTACTACGTACTCATGGTATGTAATTTATGATACAATTATAGCCGATAGATAAAAATCAATTCAATTCAAATCAAAATGCTTGATTTCTGTAACATACTAGGTTTACCAACAAATTTTGATAACATTCCTTTTAAATATATAAATACCTGTATTAGGAAGTTATCACTATTCCATATTATATGTACAAGGTAGGTAAGTACTAGTTAAAAATACAATGTGTAACATTTGTGATTATTTATAAAATCAGTCTATATAATATTACTAATATTTTTATGTGGTAAATGTGTGTGTGTGAGTGTGTTGCAAAATTAATGTGTGTGAGTATGTGCGCGTGTGTATGTACGTGTGTGCGTGTGTAAATGTGTATTATGTGTCGCGTGCGTAATATGTCTGTATGCATAGAGTAATTAGACTTAGAATGATAGTGTCATTCAAAATTCCGTTCAGATTTGAAGCAACAACACAATGAATGTGTGCATAAGTGGCCTGTAATTACGTTTGCACGCACGCACATAAGCAAATGAGTAATGTATGCAAGTAAATGACGATTTCCCAAAAAAGTGGGGAAAGTGTGATAGTAGACATAGTCGTAAAATTAATATTTAAGTTGCGTTTATAATTATTTATTAATAATTTAAAAAGAGAGAAATATAAAATTACTTATATTTATTAACTAATATTTTATTAAAATTAATTATATACGTAAAATCTTGTGTGATAATAATATTCACAAATCTATTATGTCATTATATTATTCTGTTAGAAGAGATACATTTACGTATTGTATATATATTTATGTATTGTATATTAATATAAATATATGATATACTTTTTTTTAATAAGGCGTTTTGATTTAAAACGAAATAAGATTCGAAAGGAGAAAAGCTATTCAAATAAAATACGAAAATAAAAATATTTATTAAGTAACTATATACCCAAGTAGCTTGAAAACGTCTTCCAACGCAGCGGTGAAGAGTTTCGGGGATATAACGTCACCCTGTCTTACACCTCTCTGAAGTTGGATAGGTTTCGAACTCTGGTTCTGTACTCGGATAGCCATCGTAGCCCTACTGTACAAACACTTCAGCACTTCGATATAGCGGCAGTCAACTTGGCACCGATGAAGGGACTGTAGCACCGCCCAAATTTAGACGGTATCAAAGGCTTTCTCATAGTCCACATACGCCAGGCAAAGTGGCAGATTGTACTCTACGGTCTTCTGTACAATATGCCGCAGGGTATGTATGTGGTCTATGGTACTGAAGCCTTTTCGGAAACCGGCTTGATCGGGAGGCTGGAAGTCGTCGAGTTTGCGTACGAGACGATTCGTAATGACTCTCGAAAACAGCACGTAGACGCGCCTCAGAAGGGAAATCGGTCTGTAGTTCTTGAAGAGAGCGTTGTCGCCTTTCTTGAAGAACAAGACCACCCCACTTCTGCTCCACGCCTCCGGAGTAGTGCCACCATGGAGGACGGAATTGAAGAGCTTCTGAAGGACTTCAAGTACCGGTGTTCCAGCCGCTTTCAGAAGCTCCGCTGTAATTCAATCCTCGCCCGGGGCCCTGCCGTTTTTAAGGTGCTGGAGGGCCATTCTAATCTCGCTCAGACTGACGTCTGGGATATCATCGGAATAGTGTCGGGTAAGACTTGCTCTTGGATCGTTACTCACACTTGCGTGTGGCTCCAATGATGATGTGTACAGCTGCCCATAGAACCTCTCAATCTCACTCAAGATCTCAGGTATCCCGGAAACGATGCCCACACCATTCAGCTTTGAAAGTTCTCTTTCAGCAGACAGATCTCTGGCAAAGACTTTGGAGCCCTGGTTCTGCTCGATCGCTTCTTTAATATGAGCAGTATTAAAGTTGCTTAAGTCTCGCCGCATGCATTTGGAGATCTGTCTGTTCAGTTGCCTGTATGCTGTCAAATCTGTTGACGATTGCAGCCTCATCTCCCGTCTAACAGCCATGAGTTTAAGAGTGTGATCGGAGAATTTTTGTGGTTTTTTTTTTGTGTCAAGCTACTGGACTGGAAAGGATACGGTATTAACATCAATGGCGAGTACATCACTCACTTTCGATTTGCCGACGATATAGTCCTTATGGCAGAATCACTGGAGGACCTTAGCACTAATGCTCAATGACCTCAATAGTGTCTCCCAACGGATAGGTCTTAAGATGAACATGGACAAAACAAAGATCATGTTTAATGTCCATGTCACACCTATGCCGGTAGTTGTTGGGAGCACTATGCTCGAAGTTGTTGACGAGTACGTTTACCTGGGACAAATAGTCCGACTAGGTAAGTCCAACTTCGACCGAGAGGTCAATCGACAGATTCAACTCGGCTGGGCAGCGTTCGGGAAATTACGACACATCTTCTCGTCAGGTATACCTCAATCTCTGAAAACTACAGCGTACAACCAGTGCGTGTTGCCAGTGATGATTTACGGATCTGAGACGTGGTCCTTCACTGCTGGACGTATGCAGGACGCTCAAGGTCGCTCAGCGAGCTATGGAGAGGGCTATGCTCGGAGTTTCTCTGCGTGATAGACTCAGAAATGAGGATATCCGCAGTAAAACCAGAGTGACCGATATAGCCCAACGGATTAGTAAGCTGAAGTGGCATTGGGCCGGCCATATAGCTCGAAGAACCGATAACCGATGGGAAGAAAGGTTCTCGACTGGCAGCCTCGTACCGGTACTTGGGGGAAACCTACGTGCAGCAGTGGACTTGTGAAGGGCTGCAATGATGATGATGATGATAATACCCAAGTACTTAAACTAAACGTCTCTTAACCCTGCATCTGCAACTGTTTTCTAAATAACCGCCGCTTTGATGACGCTATCCGCGAAATATTATCTTTTTTGGATTCATATAAGAATTGAACTCTTGCATAACGTTCTACAATAAGCCGCATTAGATTTGTGTCGTGATGTTGCGAATTGATGTGCTCTTCTACAATAGGAAATAGATAATGACCAATGAGTTGGGCCATAATTTCGAGAGATAGCTCTTTCTCTGAATTGTTTTTCTGTGCATTATGTTTAATATAATTTCGCAGATTATTTATCAACAATACTACAAATGGAGTAAACTTCATTAGAAACGTAAATTAGTTAGTTTTCGTTAGTTTTCTTTGCGATAAGTCTAATTTTTTCAATTCATTGATCAGCGCAGACAACCTAGCCTACGAGACATGTAACGAAAGGCGACAAATTTCATCTTTATAATAATTTAATACACCACTGTTGGCTAGTGGCAAAACATATATTCTTTTTGGGAAACGTTAAATATATGTAAATCAGTTTTAGAATTTAAAAACATATTCATAAAGTAAGTTATATATCCTAAAACACATACTACAATAAAGGTAAAAATAACCACATTAACAAAACAAAATAAAATCAACACGTTTTTTTCGTGGCAAGTGGAAACTCTAATAGTATTTTGCAATTAAAAATACCTACTCATGCGTAAATTTTTGTTTGTCAAATAAAAATACAACAATAATAGTCCCATATTGGCAGTATGTAATTATAATAATAAGAAAATATGGGGTGAAATATTTTATTATGCCTAGCAACATTTTCATTATATTGGCGTCTGTCAAATTTAAGATTTATTATTATGTTTTGATGAATGTTTTTTTACAAAAATATAAGATGCTAGACAGTGATTGCCAGTGAAATGAGATTTTTAGATTTTTTTTTCATGATTATGTGATGAGTTGTGACACCCTTTCAAAGCACAGTAAGTTATTTTTTACAAAATTGCAAGAGCTCTTTGCACGACTACGTGGACTCGAGTACTGACAGTTACACTCTCTAGTATATACAGGTATACACAGTAATCTATGACTGACACGCTGAAAGTCGTACGTAGCCTTAAAAGGCTAACTTGAAACGGCTTCACTATGATTGAGTCTGCTGCGGTTCTAAGCCTAATAATTCTATGTGTGTATGTAAATGAAATATTGGATTTATTCTGCAGTAAATTAGAAATTATTTCAAGCCAATTTTTTAAGTTATTTGAATTTTAATAGGTATTTAAAATTTGAGTGTCCATTGTCATATTTTCTAGTAACCTTTCTGTGTCAGCATAGCTGAGTGATTTTAACCATTGTGTGAGAGTTTTTTGCAGTCATAATAGTTTAAGTGGTTTATTTTTGTTCTTTTATTAGATAGGTAGATATATAGATATCCTCCTTGATTAAGAACACTTAAGAATCAAAATTTTTGAATGTCATAGAACGACGGTAACCCAAGTCTTAAATGGCATCTATTAAATTGTTTCGTACAAATTAATACAAGTGGTAAATTAAAAAAAATTGTACAACCGAATTCAATATAAATAAAATGTGAACATAATCAATGTAGTCGAAGTCAATTAAATGCGCATTATTAAGTACAACTCAAAAACTATTGGTCTGACAATCAAATTTATATGTGCTGTGAAATTTACATGTGATGCACCAGCTTACAAATAAAAAAGTATCATCAAAATCGGTTCACTGAGACACACACATTTAATAAAACAGTCGAACTGTTCAAAACACCTCCTCCTTTTTTAAGTCTGTTAAAAATAGGTTAGTGAAATTGAAAAAAAAAACAATATGAAATGGATACATGTACAGTATGCCCATTTGTGGTAGAGAAGTGCGTCGATAAATCTCTATGTAATAATAATAATAATAATTTATTAAAAACTTTAACTTGTAGTACATATAAAATCTCACATAAGATAGCTATAAAATTAGGTGAAAAAAAAAACCCACCAGTGAGTCTTTCTGATACTGATAAATCAAGCGTCGTGAACATATTTTTTATTTATTAATATTTAGTTAATCAACGTTATCTCTACAATAGGATGTCTGCTGTATCATGGAGATAGTTTTATTAGGGAACAAACATCTATATCTGGAACTGTTATTTGAAACCTGTACAAATACTTGTTACGAGCGGGATTCGAGCCCGCGGCTCTCATCCTTAACTCAAAGCTGAACCTCTGCGTCAATAGCCGTCGGCTATTTTATATCCATCGGTTACAGCCTATAAAAGTCCACTGCTGAAAATAGGCTTCCCCCATATAGTGACATTAAGGGGATTATTAAGGGGATTCTGCCACAGTTGCCACGTTTGGCGTCAGGTTGAAGAGAGCCAGTATAATTACAGGCTGTGAGGTTCTCCATCTCAGTCCTCAGAAGTGACAACGCAACTGTAACCTTCTTTATTTCAAGTGTCCATCGACTGCAGGAGCCACTTACCATCAGGTGGACTTAAGTTTGTTTGTCACCTTTATTTCATATCAAAAAAAAAACTTAATTGTCAGGGTGCTGCTAATATGTGCAGATTTGAGCGCCGGTGTTAAATTTCCTTCTGGATTCCTATTTGGTTCTGCCACGGCATCGTATCAAGTGGAGGGGGCGTGGAATGTTAGTGGTGAGTATATTTTTTATGACTTCATCGTTCGATAGTTCTTTGGTAAAACTATAGTCATTCGGTATTTGAATACTGGGATGGGAGGTGGTGGGGAGAGGGGGTGATTGCAGGATAAGACCCCAACCCTTCCCCCCTTGCCAAAATGTATAGTTTATGAGTAATGATTTATTTGTAAAATTATAACCTCACTTTTTACACAGGAATATTGACCCAAAGTTACTTCTGTAACAGTTTCGTCACTGCGGGAAGTGGAGCCCCTTCGCCCTTGCGTAGCAAATTGCAGGCACCCTTGCAAGCCGTAGCAGGCGTCTATGCCTGCAATTTGCTACTGGTCTCCCTCCGTGCCTACGGCTTTACAAAAATACTCTATGTGTAAGGCAGACCAAACTACGTGGAGTCTGGGCAGGATGTTTAAGAGTAGCTCGCGCAAAAATAAAAGTTAGTTATATGGGTCTCCATATTTCTTTAATTTATTACTTTTTTATTATTTGTTGTTATTGTGGCGAAAGAAATATACATTATGTAAAAGTTACGAGTATCCACCTACGGTTCAAGAGATACAGCCCGCTGATAGACGGACGGACGGATGGACAGATAGGGGAGGCTTAGTAATAGGGTCCGTCGGCACCCTTTGTGCGCGGAAACCTAAAAACGTAGGTGTGAGTTTCACTGTTTTCCAAAGTGAGGCATGTTTCAATTATATATCAATGAAAGTTGGTAAGTAATTTATATTTGTAGAGTTAGGGTACCAGGCAACTACTACTACATCATAAGTATCTTCACCATCATCATCATCATCATCATGAACAGCAGCAGCAGAAACTTATCATAGGCTCAATACCGAGTGCAGATTTCCTCTCAGATAAAGGATATAGACCATACTTCACTATACCGACACAATGCAAATTGGGAGACTTCACTCTGAGAATATTATGGAGACCTCTCAGGTATGCAGGTTTCCACACGATGTTTTTCTTTACCATTGATGCATGATATATATATATATATATATATATATATATATATATATATATATATATATATATATATATATATATATATATATATATATATAAATTGCTAGAACGCACATAATTATAAGTCTGAAAAGTCAGAGGTGCGTACCCGAAATTGAACTCGTGACTTTCTAAGCTGCGTAGACTGTACATAAATATATAATTATATACGTATACACATGAAAAACATTTCCCTCTTGTAATCAGGTAAAAACGTTTCGCATAATATTGTTACGAACATAGGGTTCGTCACAATAAAAATTGCCGATTAAATTACCAAAACTTACACTTCAATTACTGAACACCAATTACAACTTAAAGCATACTAATAATTAATTACACTGATCACTTTAGTTCACTTTATTTCGCTCCGAAGTCTTCGCTTGAATCGCCAATTCAATGCTCCCCGGTCGCGGTTGCTACCGTCTTTATATAGGCCTTTTCCACTGAAAGATCTAGAAAGTTCGAGCACGTGCCCGTCCCGACCGACTAGATGTAGAATGTTCTGGGATGGAATTTTCTAGAAAGTTTAGTTCTGCTACTTGATACTAGATGGCGCTAGAGAATTTTCTAGAAACATCTTGATGCTCCTATTTCTGCAACTCGAGACTAGATAGCACTAGTGCCATATATCAGGCATCAACTATGGCGCGCAACAATATTGTTTACATTGATTGCATTTTTTATACACACGCTTCTGTTACTTGTTTCACGGCTTTTAGTTTATCAAGCCCTGAAAAATCATTAGAAATATTAAATTAACATATAAGTATATTGTATTTTATATTATAATATTATATTATGTGCATTACCACTGTGACGTAAAAGTAAAACGGTAATATAAATAAATTTTAATATTGTTTACAACATTGTAACTAGGTGGCACCGATGTCGTTTAAATAGCGATATGCTTCCGTTCACAGAAAGTGATTTTTTTTTAAAGAAGAGGGGGCAAACGAGCATGCGGCTCACCTGATGTTAAGTGACTATCACCGCCCATGATCAACCGCAACACCAGGAGAATTGCCGGCCCTTTAGAAAGGAGTAAGCTCTTTTCTTGAAGGTCCCCAGGTCGTATCGGTCCGGAAAAATTACCAGTTGTAAACTATTCCACAGAGAGGTCGTACGCGGAAGAAAACTCCTTCTGAAACGTAAAGTGGTGGACCGCCAAGCATACAAATGGTGTTGATGGTATCGGGACATTTGCGGCGTAGTGCGTTCACAAAATTTGGCGGCTGGGATTAATCCGAACAATTCCTCAGAGCACTCTCCATGGTATATGCGAAAGAAAATGCAAAGAGATGCAACATCTCTTCGCAGTGCCAGTGAATCGAGCCGATCGGAAAGCACTCGGTCGTCGACGATTCGAGCCGCTCTGCGCTGGATGCGGTCAAGTGGAAGGAGCTGGTACTGGGGAGCCCCAGCCCAGAGATGGGAACAGTATTCCATGTGCGGCCGAACCTGCGCCTTGTAAAGTTGCAGGCGGTGTGCCGGCATGAAATACTGTCCCGCTCTGCTGAGCAAGCCAAGCTTTTTAGAGACCAATTTGGCCTTCTCTTCCAAGTGACTGCGAAACTGCACGTCACTCGATATATCGACGGGGAGGATTCCGATACTGGCTGAGGCAACAAGGGGAGTGCCTTGAAACTGAGGATATACGACAAAGGGTTTCTTTTTAGCGGATAACGCGCAAACTTGTGTCTTCTGGGGGTTAAACTGGACTAGATTTAGTCACCCCCAATCCGAGACTCTGTTCAGCAGAGACTCGACTTCAGACACAAGTTTGTCCCGGCACTCGGAGACGTTTTCCCGAGAAATATTGGCTCGGCCGGTGTACAGAGCATCACCAGTGCTGTCATCTGCATAGCAATGAATGTTACGGGTTTGCAACATATCATTGATATGCAGAAGAAATACATATTAAAGCTATTGGCGATTGACCTTTGTTCTCTTTGTAATTGATGCTTAATTGGTTTTTAGACATGGGACCCTCAAATACCAGCGCCAAAAACCAGGGCTCGAGATTCTTTCAAGTATTTTCTTTCTGCATCGGAAATTGATCCGTAAACTCATATATATAAGAAGTGCAATCGCATATACTCAAATAGCTAAAATAACTTACAAGCCTTGTTAGAAGAAAAATACTTGCATACAACATTAATCCGTAACTATATACAAATAATTAAAGAGCACAATTACGTTTACGTTTAAAGAATTCCAAACCTTTAAAAGTTTCAACTTTCAAGACTTTTTGGAAGAAAAACTTGCATAGAACCAAAGACATTTAAGTATTTAAGTATAAAAAAAAAAAAAAAAAAAAAAAAAAAAATGGCCTGGTATAAAAATATGACCTTCGATCCTTTGATCCTTTGATCACGACGTGATTGTGGAATGACCTTCGCGAACGCACCTTCCCTACTGATTTTATCATCTTAGGAAATGGGTATAGTTATATAATTATTATATTTTATTGTTGTAACCGAGTGTTACTTTCTCTTTACTGTTAAGGTTGTAGATTTTTGAGTGTGGATATCAGATTATTTCAGGATTAGTAGTTATTCATTAAATATTTTAAATTTAATATTATTATTATTATTACCTTTGGTAATAGGTATAGGTATATATTGTATTTTATTGTGTGTTAGTTTCTCTTTAGCATGAGGGTTGTAGAGTTTTGTATTATTTTAGGATTGGGAGTTATTCTTATACTAAAATAATTATATTATTATTGTGTGGTAGTTTCTCTTCACTAATATGACTGTAGAAATTTTATGCGTTATGGACGCAATGATGCCACATACCATCGTACAAGTTATTGTTGACGGAGCTTGCTTATTCCTGATATGAGCCATAGCATACATATTATATGATACTCAAATTATGGCTCGGGAAATACGTGAGGATATAGTAGACCACGTGATGGAGCAATGGGATGAGTTTGCCATCATGTCCGACGATAGAGATGGGAATAATTTTAATAGTTCTGCTGACTACTGTGTCAAAATGTCTCAACCTTATACATATGGTATAATCTTATCAATTTAAAGTCAGCGATGTCACGGAGATATTTAAAAATATATATTTATTTACGAACTCTAGCATGAAGTAAATTGATGCGCTTGCGGAAATTTAAATTTGTGTCAAGCGTGATATCATCATACGAGCTACATTTACGAGAGTAAATATTTAGGTGAGTAGGTATGTTATTACAAACAATACAAATAACAATATATCTACGTTTAAATTTAGGAAATTGTTAAGAAGGCAGTTAGATACTTTGTTAAAGCCTTGCTGAGCGTATTTATAAACCTCATCACGTGATTTAGCTGAAAATAACAGGCCTGTGTTATCCTAATGCGACATTATGACAATATTTTGAAGTTGGAGATTGCATAAGTTATTTATATAAATTAGGAACAAAGTAGGCCTCAGGATACTGCCCTTTGGGATTCCATAAGAGATGTTTTGTAGCAAGGAAAAAAAAAAAAAAAAAATTCAGTACTTGTATATCGATTTTTACACATTGAGAGCGATCACGAAGGTAATCGGTACAAAGTAATAGTTGAGTTCCCCTATGCCAAGTTTTTCAAGTTTTTGGAATAGTATAGGGCAAGAGATAGTATCAAATTGGCAAGGTCTAAAAAGATCCCAATTGAGTGCGTACCAATGTCGAGATTACTTGTGACATAATCTGTCAATTGGTGCAAGGCATCATTACATGATCTCTTAGGCCTAAAACCAAATTGCCTGTCTGACAGCAAATTGTTAGTTTGCAGGTATTTTATTTACCTGGTATTTATGACTTTTCCTAATATTTTACTTAAAACAGATAAAACTGAAATCGGCCTATAGTTACTAATTTTTTATCGCCAGCTTTGTAAATAAGAGAAACCAGAGCTTTTTAAGCACTTTCGGGAAAATACTTTTAGATGGGCATAATTAAAAGATATGTGTTAACGGGGCAGCCAGTAAATGTATGAATCTTTTGAGTATACTATTAGGTATATTGTCCCATACAGCTGCATAATTTTCTTTAAGCCAGTCATTATACTTAAAATCTCATCAATGTCGGTATTTAACAATACAAATGAATTTGTCTTAGAAAAGTATGGCGGCATAAAAATTGAATTTCGAGTGTTGTTTAATTTTTTTATGCTGTTTTTTTGCCAACATTAATAAAAACATTATTTACTTTATTGGTAGCTTCGTTTCGGCTTTTGTCTAATGACAGTAGTTCAAGTGGAGGTCCAAGGGTTTTTGAACTGAAGGTATTATTTTTAATGAACTTCCATATAACTTTATTGTTTTTACCGGCTTTTTGCAAAACATTTTTATCCTATTGTAATTTGAGTTTTTTTATTAGTTTATTGCAAAAATTCCAATAGCTTTTATAAGTAACAGAAAGTGTTAAATTATCCGAAGAAAGTTTTGATTGTAAATGTAGTTTGTCTCTATTTCTTATACAGCGGGCGAGACCAGGTGTTATCCAAGGTTTAACATTATTATACTTAGGTGACAGTTTTATTGTTGCTATTTAAGGTATATATATATATATAAATCAATCAATATTTTGAAAAAATTCTAAAAGAACTCTTTATTAAATAATTAATTCTATATTGGACTGACTTGAATTGGATAGTGTTGAAAATATCTCACGAGCTTTAATGGATACTGATATACCATATTAAATATTCCAGATAATGGGAAGTAGCGAGGTATCTTTACGGGTTGGTTTCAATATTATCTTTCTGAGAAAAACAAGGGGGGGGGGGGACAACGTGGAAAGATTGACGACGCCACCACACTGTATCTTCTTAACATTTTTAAGTGCTTATAGAAAACTAGAATTATGACAGGTCATGTCCGTTAGTAGACTACTCGAGAAATGATGAAGAAGAAGAAAAAATCAAACCATTATGACGAATTATAAAAAAGAATGTACTTAATATATTACCTTTTTCAGACAAAGGTGAAAACACATGGGACAGACTGGTTCACAGCAATCCCGATGCAATTAAAAATCGTGACAACGGGGATGTGGCCTGCGACTCCTACCACAATTGGAGGGATGACGTTAAGATCGCTTCCGACCTGGGGCTGCATTTTTATAGGTTAGTATTTATTCGGTGGAATGACATCGAACATCTCAATTAGCATAGATAGTTAAGGCTTATGTCGGTTTCAATGAAACTGTAAAAGCCTCTTGAGTTAGTACATTAATAACCATAACATAAGAAGTATTTTATTTGTTATTATAACTAAACCAATTTAGAAAAATCATTCCGGTCCCATAATAGATAAAGTGACTGTAAGCCAAAATGGAGGTGGATGCAATTTGTTCAGGATAGATTTTGATGACATTTTTGGTGGAAGCCTAAACAAAGCGGATTTGTGGTTTTCGTGGCGACGATTTTTTGTCGAAATTAAAGCATGAGGTACTTAAAGTAAAATTTTGTACAGAAAAAAGAAGGTATATTCTAAATTATATTACAACTGCATGCTTCATCTGTACCCGATTCTCCACCCTTTTTTTTATAGAATAAGGATAACAAACGAGCAGAAAGATCACTTGATGATAAGTGAATACTGTGGCCCACACTCTTTTATTCTAAATTTAGAATCAAAATGCAGATGCATTGTCACAACTGAAGACTAAGATAGAATGCCTCGCTTCCAGTAAAAATGGTCTCCGGTTCAGTACACTAACGAAATTCAGCAGCATTAAGCTGCCATTTTACGCTGCTATTCTATGAGAGTGTGGTCCTAACCTGGTTGAGCCGACCCATTCGTACTACAACCATAATATAGCTGCAGCTTCCAGCTTCCTATCAAACTTAATAATCAAACCGGAATGCAGAAGACGGATGATGGCAGTTTTGTTTTTACTATAAGCGATGTGTCTTTAGAATGAAGAAGGGCTCAAATCCAGTACCCCCGATCTACAGAATTCATCATCATCAACAACTAGCCATTCAAAATCCGTTGCTGAACATATACATAGATGACTTACAGGGAGGATATTTACCATAGTTGCCACGCTTGGCACCTGCCTACCTTGGGCTAACCGCAGTCCTTTAATTTGTTTCCCTCTGTCGCCTCTAACAACACCTACGGGTCTATGTAAGTTAATGGATGCTCTATGTTCAGCAGTGGATTTTAATAGGCTGAATGATGCTCATCACAACTTTGCGGTCATTTTAGATTCTCCATATCATGGTCAAGGTTACTACCTTCAGGTCTGCCTGACAGAATAAGCGAAGACGGAAAAAACTACTATAACAACCTCATTGACGGACTCCTCGAGAAAGGCATACAACCATTAATTACTCTGTACCATTGGGACTTGCCGCAACGGTTACAGGATTTAGGTGAGTTCTCGTATGTTTATATTAATGTCCTCTGACCGAATTTCACAGAGTCTCGGTAGTCAGTCTTAGCGGAAACCAGCCTTCTTCACAGGACACGGTTATAGTGCACGAGAGTGTGTGCAAGCACAGGTATAATCTCTATTCCCTCTTGCTCATAGTCGGATAGAACTGGCACTATCAGAATCAAAGGGTGGCAACCTGTACGACCGTCATCGATCAGGGACAAGACTTTATGTGTTTTCCGAGGAATGGGGTGGAAAAATCGTCATCTTCAATACTCCGGGATACTAGTGAGAATTTTGTAACAGAAAAGCTCTATAACAGATTTTGGGCAGATCTGGGGTATGAACGCTGAACCACGTGGTCAGCGGAAGCCCTTACGATCACTTGATAAACGAAAAAGTAGGCAAAGCAGATTGACGAAACAGTGTGCATATATGCAACAGTGTGCACATTACACGTTACTCTTTTTATGGTAGAGCCATGCTGCAGTTATATAAGTAGTATAGTTGTAGCACGAATGGGTCGGCTCGACCGGGGAGGGACCACGCTCTCACGGAATACCAGCGTAAAATAGTAGCTTGATGCTGATGTGTTTCGTATGGTGAGTGTAGAGACCCGAGAACACTTTTTACTGGAAACGAGGCATTTCATCTTAGTCCTCACGTGTGACAACGCATCTGCATTTTGATTCGTAATCGAGGATAGATGTAGATGTCTGTGGGCCACAGTAACCACTTACCATCAGATGGACTGTGTGCTCGTTTGTCACCCTATCCTATAAAAAAAGAGTGGGCATAAATAGTATATTGCATACCGTCTATGTGATGAAAAATGCTGTGTCCTATAGACAACTCTTCCCTCGGCGGTTAAGAATAAAAATGCAGATGTGTCACCTCTGAGGACTAAGTAGAAAAGGTCTCCAGTTCTGTCCACTGCAGCACGGCACCACCACATATAAAATTGCGTTGTAACCTCTAAGGATCAAGGTGAACTGCTTCAAAGCCATAATTAATAATTACACTGGCTGATTTTATCAATTCACTTTAACTGTAGATGTCTGTGTGCCACAGCATCTACTTACTATCGGGTGGTATGCGTTCATGTTTGTCAATCTAACTCTTTAAAAAATCTGAACGCAATACATTGGGTGCATTTCTTGTTGGAGGCTGAAATAGACTCTTGCCTGTTTCGAACCTTTTATCCATACCATTACCATTACAGCCTATCAACAGTCCACTGTTGAACTGAACATGGACCATCCGCATAGATTGTGGTGTCTCATAGGGCAAGCGGTTTGGTAAGCGCAGTTTGTTATTTTTATTCAGCTGTTATCTATTTTTATTTTGGTAATTTACCACATGCTTGGCGTTGAAGAAAAACATCATGAGGAAACCTGCATGTCTGAAAAATATGAAAAAAAATTTCAAAGACGTGAAAAGTTCGACAACATGCATTGGGGCACTGCGACGGGTATTTACTTATCCTAAAACCCTTTAAAAATGAGAGGAAGCCTGTGCCCAGCAGTGGGACGTATACAGGCTCTAACTAATTCAGCTGTTGTTCGGGCTAATCATGGGAATGACTGAACCGATTGTAATAAAAATTCACGGACAGTTCAAAAGATATGCTAGGAGTGTGTGTTTATCTGAAAAAATTGGATATATTTTTGAGAAATCTAAAAATTTATAAAATAAATGGTCTTTGCAGATTACCTTATATCTAAATAATGTCACTTTAATAGATTCAGGCAAAGCAGAGGCGTGCCGTTATTTTGGAGTGAGATTAGAAAAATGATGAGCTTAAATTCTTCATTTCAGGTGGTTGGACAAATCCCCTTATGGTGGAGTGGTTCGCGGACTACGCGAGAGTAGCTTATACTTTGTATGCCGATCGAGTAAAGGCTTGGATTACTATTAACGAGCCGTATATAGTATGTGACGTTGTATACAAATCGGGTTTGTTAGCACCTGCTATCAAAGACCCAGGTTTCGCTAACTACCTTTGCGCCAAGTTTCTTTTGCTGGCCCACGCTAAAGCTTGGAGAATCTACGATGAAGAATTTAAATCCATCTACAATGGTTAGTTTCATCTTTTTTTAGGGAATTTCTTTCGTTAATCGTTATGGCCAAAAATAACTATTAATAAAAAGTAAAAAGCGACTTCAATGAACGAAAAAGAGCTAAAAAAGCTTTCTTAATTCTAATTCTAAATTCAAAAGGCATGCAAAGCACCTACTATTCCCCTAGTGTTGCAGATGGTTACGGGCACGGTAATCCTTTATATAGCTAACGTGTATAGAAAAATTAAAGTATTGACTTAAAATGTATAAAATATTTAAAACTTTTAGTTATTTCTTGCTTACTGGCTTTCACTCTTTATCGCTAGTCATTTTTTTACTGTTGCCGCCTGAGCTCAAACAGAGGCGCCTATTTCCTGAGTAATGACGGTCTTGTTAGCAGTGAGATGGCCTAATGTATTTCCTACATATCAAAATATGTAGGTCATGGGAGTCTGTCTCAATCGAGATTAGCTATCTGCGCAGGACTGTAGTGGTACAGCCACGCTGCAGCTATATTATGGTTGTAGCACGAATGGGTCGGCTCGACGGGGGTAGAACCACGCTCTCAGAGAGTAACAGCGTGAAGTAGCAGCTTAATGCTGCTGTTTTGTATGGTGAGTGTGGAGAGCCGGAGACATTTTGTACTGGAAACGAGGCATTACATCTTAGTAATCAGAGGGTACAACGCATCTGGATTTTGAATATTTATTGAGGATATATGTAGATATCTACAGGCCACAATATCCTCTTAACATCAAGTGGACTGTGTGCTTGTTTGTCATCCTATACTATAAAAAGGGTTATAATGAACGGGTATGAACGCTAGCACAGGAGCACGCACTATTCCCTTACCTACATAGTCCAAAGGAACTGCAATGCGATACAACCATAGGGAGATCTGGTGCGGGACCAACGGTTTTACATGCTTTTCTGGGCACGGTGGTGAAACACCGTTCTTATATTGTTTGATCAGTCTCTTCGTAACTACTTCACAATTTTCATTTACGGAAGATGTTTTTTTAATATATGTTTGGCGATTTCTCGGTTCAATCGATTTAAGTGTACTGTTTTATTAAATAGGTTATATATATATATATATATATATATATATATATACTAAAATTATATTTTATACTAAAACAAGAAATATATTGATAAAATTCCGTCCCTAAGGTTTTCAGGGTAACTATGTGGACGATATCCTAGTTCACAACTTGAACTTGTGCTTAAATATTTTTTAGACCACTCAAATTTGGAAATTATTTTAATCTTATTAGTTTTTGATGACGGCTTCCACTTTTTTGTTTCTTTTCTCTTTAAAAAAAAACCTTACCCACATACGGTAATCAGTCGTCGCTTGTGTGTCATTGTGTGAATACGCGTTAGAAATGTCTAGTCCGGTGAGGTCAACAACCTCCGCCGTGTTGAAGTGTGCCAGTTGCAATATAGTAATTAACGAAATATTAGCGTTTATCCAAAACAAATGTGATGTGATGGACGAGGAAGGAATCATTCGACTGTGTTCTTCAGCGTTCAAACCAGAGGAAATATGTACAGCAAAGAATCTTCTTTATAACTCCCTTAAAACAAAGAAGAAAATTGTTACTCGCAAGCGGGAAGGTAAAACTTTACGTGAACTAGAAGATATAATTACTACAATAAAAGAGGTTGATCCAGAGAACCTGCCAATTTTTGTTGCACGTGACCTGCAGAAACTTCCCCCGGTGACATTCGATCACATCGATGTAACTCGATTGTTAAAAGACCTAATAATAATGCGAAATGAATTTGAGAGTTTTAAGGACAATTACGTAAATATGGAAAAGTTTTTGCAGCTCCAAAAAGAAGTACATATTTTAAAAAATTACACTTTAGTGAACAATTTTGAGGGTACAAATCTTGTTAAGAATAAGCGGGGCGCTGCCAATTTGTTGGATAATTTTGATTGTGATAGCGGTCCGATAGGAATAATTCATTTAACACAAGATTCAACGACCTCTAACAACGGCGCAAAGATTTCGACCTTGACTAATAACATGGTATGTGCTTCGGAACCTGTTCAACTTCAAACACAGCGCTCGCCGTCTCTGTCATGCGCTCCGGCCAATGCATTAACTGTCTCCGCGCCACCTCCGCAGTGTTTTTTGCCCGTGGAGGCGGCTACTGCGGTTTCCGCCTGCGCCGAAAGTGCGGTGCGGGCCTCGCAAAACAAGTTTGACTGCGAACGTGTGATAGACGCTTCAAGCTGTAATGTCGACAACTTACCGAATGAGAATAATAATTTATGCGTTAGTATGGCGGAAATAGTACGAAGTAATAATAAACATTGGAAAGACAAGGAGCAGAATGAAGAATGGAAAATTGTTCAGAGAAAAAGGTACAGAAACCGCTTTTTTAAGTGAAAAGGGCACATGTATAGATGCAGAGCAAAAGTTTCGGGTAGCAGATATTAAAATACCTCTTTTTTATAAATAATGTACACATAGATACATGTGAAAATGACATCATTAGTTACATAAAGAATAAAACTAATATTCAAGTAAGTTTACAAAAAATAAAAACAAAGCAGCAAAGGGACTACAGTTCATACAAGGTGTTTGTTCCTAAGCATAAGTTAAACTTATTCTTAAATTGTAACCTGTGGCCAGACGGAATTTCCTTCCGCCGCTTTGTTGACTTTCACAAAAGGGAAGTAAATAGAGGGACTCCATTACTCAGCGGTACAAATAAATTATAAATAGTATGGAAGGTACAACTTTTATTTCATTCAATTGTAAATCTCTCAAAAGATCAATGGATTGCGTCAGATCAATGAGTCAAAGAGCTGATATTATTGCGCTACAGGAGACATGGCTGTTACCCCATGAAATTCAGGAACTGAGCAATGTAAACAAAGCTTTCGGATACTTTGGCAAGTCAGCGGTTGATACGTCATCAGGACTATTGCGAGGAAGACCATATGGTGGGGTGGCTCTTTTATGGAATAGCTCAAAATTTGAGTGTGTGTCTGTGATACCATGCGCGAGTGATCGTATAGTTGCAATTAAACTCTGTGTTATGAGTCGTTCAATGCTAGTTTTTTCAGTTTATATGCCTACTAATTCGCCTGAAAATTTTGTAGAGTATGTAGAATGCTTAGGCGAAATAGCGGCTATAGTAGAGAACAATAACATTGAATCTGTATTTGTTTTAGGAGATTTTAATGCACACCCAGGGGGAGCTTTTTTGTAAAGAACTAATAAATTTTTGTAACGATCAAAACTGGGAGTGCATAGATCTAAAAACGTTAGGTCATAGTTCTAGCACATACACATATATTAGTGAAATTAATGGCAGTCGGCGCTGGCTCGACCACTGTTTGATCACTGAGGCCGCCCGTAGTTCCGTTACTGACGTTAAGGTGCATTATGATGTATTATGGTCAGACCATTTTCCACTAGAAATTCAGTGCAATATTAAAACTTTGACACAGTCGACGGGGCTGCCGCAGGCCACTTTAAATAAAGTAATCTGGGGGGGAACGTGATGAGCAACAAACAAAAATCTTTACTAGAGTTTGTAACGAAAAATTAAAATTAATTGACTTTCCCCATGAGCTTGAGAAGTGTTGTGATTCAACTTGTAATGATTTGAGCCTAGAGCACATTAACGTAATTGACAAATTTTACAATAATATAATCTTATCACTCCAAGAGGCCGCGGAGATTAGTTTTAATTACAGTCAGGGGGGAGGCAATAAGAGGGGTGGTCGACCCATTGCCGGGTGGAATAAATATGTACGTGACGCTCACCAGGACGCTAGGCAAGCATTTTTGACTTGGGTATGGTACGGACGACCCTCACAAGGTCGTATTTATGAGGATATGTATAGGTCTAGGAAAAATTTTAAGGAAAAATTAAAATTCTGTCAAAAAAATCAAGAATTAATTAAAATTAATATTTTAGCTACCTATCACAAAGATAAAGATTTTCGAAGCTTCTGGAAATACACCAGGAAATTAAGTCCGAAGCCTAGCGTACCGATTAGCGTTGAGGGTATTCAAGACCCCAGAGATATAGCTAACTTGTTCAGTTCTCATTTTAGGGTGCAGTCGCAGCTAAATGCACGGGGTGCTGATGTTGAGGTAATCGTATCTGGTGTGCCAAAACGTGTGACAGCTAAAGAGGTTGAACAGTTAATTAAAGGTATGAAAAGAGGCAAGTCACCGGGTCATGACGGCCTCAGCATTGAGCACTTCATGTATGCTGGGCCGCATCACCCGAGGTTACTAGGTATGCTATTTACTTTCTGTATCAGACACTCATACCTGCCTGCAGAGTTGATGAGATCGGTCGTTGTTCCTATTGTTAAGAATAAAACTGGAGATATATCCGATAAGACCAACTATCGGCCGATTTCATTAGCTACCATCACAGCAAAAGTACTTGACGGTCTGGTTGAGAGACAGCTCAAGCGTCACCTGGTTCTGCACGACGCTCAATTCGGTTTCAGGCCAAAACTGTCAACTGAGTGCGCCATTCTGGCTCTCAAGCATACTGTCAGGTATTATATGGATAGGAAGACTCCGGTTTACGCGGCTTTTTCTTGACTTGTCCAGGGCGTTTGACTTGGTTAGGTATGACATCCTGTGGAGAAAACTACAAAATTCAGGAATTCCTGGTGAGATTATAAATATTCTTAAATATTGGTATGGCCACCAGACTAACCAAGTCAAATGGTTGGATCAGCTTTCTGATGCGTACGGATTGGAGTGTGGGGTGAGGCAGGGTGGTTTGACCTCCCCGACGCTTTTTAATTTGTATATAGACGAGCTGATTGTTAGGCTTGGCAACACCAGTGTCGGCTGTTTCATTGATGGTCTCTGTGTAAACAGCATCAGTTACGCGGACGACATGGTGTTGCTGAGCCCGTCAGTTGCTGCTCTAAGAAGGCTGATCTCAATATGCGAGGAGTGTGCTGAATCCCACGGCCTATTGTATAATGCTAGGAAAAGCGAGTTGATGGTTTTTAAAGCCAGGACTCGTAAGGTGATATATGTACCGCCTGTCAAACTCAACGGTAGTGAACTTGTAAGGTGCCATCCTTCAAGTATCTCGGTCACGTGGTTACCGAGGACTTGAAGGATGACAAGGATATTGAAAGGGAAAGGAGGGTGATGGCAGTCCGCTGCAACATGTTGGCTCGCAGATTTGCACGTAGCAGTCCAGATGTAAAAATAACACTGTTTAAGGCATACTGCCAAACGCTTTATACGTGCAATCTATGGGTCAACTACACGCGGGGGGGCTGTCGGCGCTCTCCGAGTACAATATAATAATGGTCTGAGAATGTTGTTGGGGCTTCCAAGTTACTGTAGTGCATCAGGGATGTTTGCATTGGCGCACACTGATGGGTTTTACACCGTAGTGCGCAAGCGAATCGCATCCCTGCTGCGCACGGTGCGGGGTAGCACCAACACCATTCTCAGAGTAATCAGTGAAAAGCCTGACTGTCCGATACTGCGGCACTGGGTGTACGCTCACACACATGTTGCGGGGGTGTCGCGCAGTGCAGGCAGATATTTAAATTAAAATAAATATTTTCCAAAATATTACTAACCTAGTTTTTAAGATGTCTTTGTATGCTACTAACAATATTATGGACAACAGTCTGAAATAAATCAATTTTATTTTATTTTTATTTATTTATACTAGAATTTTCTCCTGTGTCCACGACAGTTTACAAACATAATTGCACAAGAACAAACATCCAGACCCGGAACAATTATTTGTAGATCATACAAATACGTGTTCCGTGCGGGATTCGAACTTGCGTCTCTCAGCGCTGCAGCTGCAACGCCACTGCACCGAGCTGTCAAAGTATTTAAAAAGTTCAATTATTGTTAATATTGTACTTTTGGTTTATAGGTAAAGTCAGTTTAACAAACCAGATCATTTGGATGGAACCTGTTTCTGATGAATACGAAGAACTGACTGAGCATGTACGGCATTACATGGTATGTTTATGGTGGAAACATTCATTATAAGAAACGTGCCAGCATTATGCTCATATATCACGCTGGTAATATTTGTGGGCTTGGTACTTCCCCGGTCAAGCTGACCTGCTCTAGCTGCAACGTGGTTCCATCCATGTACACATCAATTACAACCCTACACAGGTCAGCTGCTGAAGATAGGTCTCCCCCTATGAACGCCATAAAGCACGGTGCTGAGCCACCAGCATCCATCGAATTCCTGTATATGTTAGCAGGTCTTCATTCCTTCTAGTGGGGGGGGGGGGGGCGCCCTACACTTCGCCTATCAGTACGCAGTAGAATCAGTGCAACCGACATAGTTCAACGAATTAATAAGCTGAAGTGGCAATGGGCCGGCTATATGATATATACATATAGTCGATATACCTCTACCAACAGCATCCTGAATACAGTTGCTGATAGGTGGGATTTTGCCATTATAAAGCACTGGTTGAGCCTTCATGTAAAATTAAATAAAAGAAAATAAATAAGATATTTGTAATGTACGAGCTATGTTTAATTTGTTAAGTTAAAAAAAAGTTAAATACTAACATTAGTTTTAAGTATATATTATTGTTCAACTAACATCTATATGGACAAAGTCTGAATAAATATTATTATTATATAACACGAAGCACCGAAAACCGATGAGAAGAAAGGTTCCCGAGTACCAGTATGGTACCACCCACGTATTAATATAATCAAACATCACTACCTTCATCCTTACAGGCCATCAAAAGATCGCTGCCGAAGATAGACTTCCCCCATAGTTTGCCACATAGGGGAGATATCTGCCACCATCTCCAGTTTTAGTTCCCCTCTTACGACAACCACAGGATGACATTGGGTAGTAAATTCTATTACGCTCCCTCTGAGTTGTGTAATAGTGATGCATAAACCAATTTGTTCATTCAGTTGTGGCTGAACATGGTACATCGTACTCTTAAACTGTTTTTGGTTTTGTATTTGAAACTGATTAAATACAAATTGTTACAGGCTGGACTGTATTCTCATCCTATATATACAAAAGATGGTGGATGGCCACCAGAAATAGAGAAGACAATAGCGGAGTATAGTAAAAGGCAAGGTTACCCACGTTCGAGGCTGCTTGCGTTCACTCAAGAAGAAATCGACTTCATTAAAGGTACATCTGACCATTTAATAAATTCGTCTTTTTAGCTTTTTCAAATTTAAAGACTTAAGTTGACGTGGGTTGACTCAGGAAAATGCCAAATTGAGTTGAAAATTCATGTAAACCAAGTACGATCAGTACCTAAACTGAATTGGCAGGCGGCCCTCGACGCCAACGAATCGAAAACAAACCGAGGTCATTTTATCTGTGTTTGCAAGATAGTTTCTCAAAAGTTTGATACCTTAATAAACATGGTTAATTTGGTTTGATGTTGGATTCTTAGTAAGAAAAATAATAGTAAGTACATATTATATTTTTCTAGAAACCAACATTGCTCCGATTCAACTCACAACTACACTAAAGTACTTATAAAAGTTATGTGAAAGAATTACTGTGTGTGTGTGTGTGAACTTTAAATATTAATAATAAATGCGTCAAGAAACTTTGAACTTGGAATTTGTTATTTATACGTGGTAGAGCTACGCTGCAGCTATATTACGACTGCACAAATGATTTAGCTCGACCGGGGTAGGACTCTATTACACATTATTAGCGTACAACAGCAGAATAACGCCGTGTTTCGTGTGTTGAGTGCAGAGAACCGGAAACTCTTACTGTATTTAGATTCTTCGCATTTGCACTAAGATTCTTGTTATACTTATTCTATAAAAGGTGGCCCTTGTGCCACTTATCCTTACCTTAACCTACTGTCGCTGATATTACAAGATATGTGCAATGTTGTGTTAGACGCATCGTCTGAATATTATTCATGCCGCTAGTTGAACGGTGCCGTTTTGTTGTGAAGTGAAGTGAAGTGAAGTGAAGTGAAGATTTATTTGCTTTGAAAAAGGTTACATTAAGGTGGTTATTACAAAGTATAGTACAGCTTTTTCAGCCATCAATGGATAGCATGCAAATACATTTTTTATTATTAAGATTATTTAGTGTTTTATTAAAATAGCGAATTTAATTAAAATATATCATAAAATAGTCATCATTTAGAAATTATCAATACATAATACCAATACATACAAATTTAAAAATAATTAAAATTGAAAATGCAATTAAAAATATATAACTACTGTTGTGTCACATCATGTCAAATTTAGGTAGTCATTCACATTATAAAAACAATGATCATTTAGCCACCTGTAAAGGGCGCCTTTAAATCTATTAAGGGGCAAGTCTTTGATATGTCGGGGTATTTTATTAAATATGAGCATACACATCCAGAAGCAATTTTTTTTAAACCGAGCACTCTTGGGTATAATTTCAGCAGCAAGTCTATTGCCATTTCTGGTATTTTGCGTATAAACCTCTTTTGCTTGTCTGAAATAATACATGTTTTGTTTTACAAATTTTGCAATTTCAAAAATGTACAGGCATGGGAGTGGTAGTATTTTTAGAGATACAAATAGCGGCCTGCAAGGCTCATCAGGTGCAGCGCCACATATTGCTCTAATACATTTTTTTTGGGCAATGAATGCCTTTTTTGCATCTGTGCTATTGCCCCATATAATAAGCCCGTATCGCAGTACGGATTCCACATATGCAAAGTACGCAGTAAGTGCTGTATTTTTTTGTGGCTACTTTGCTTAGTTTATAAAGTGCGTACGAAAATCTATTTACTTTTTTACATACATGTTCAACTTGACATTTCCAATTTAGTTTTTGATCAATCCATATACCTAGGAATTTTGTCATATTTGTACTTTTTAGTGTTTGTCCTTCAAAATTAATGTTCATTGTCTGGTATAATATGTCATTAAAATTTATAAAATAAGTTTTGTCAAGATTTACAAGTAGGTTGTTATTTTTAAGCCATTCTATTATTGTTTTTACAGTACTGTTAATATCATTAATGTGATCTTTAAGTGATTGTTTACCATCTGTTTTTACTATTACAGATATGTCGTCAGCAAATAAAATGCATTTGTGTTTAGTTACATCCGGAAGATTATTTATATATACTAAGAACAACAGTGGTCCCAAAACGCTACCCTGTGGAACTCCATATTTGTTTTCTTTAAAATCTGATTTGTGATTTAGGACCACATGATTACTGTCTGGTTTGCTTATTTCAACAGATTGACGTCTATTTTGCAAGTAACTTTTAATCCAACTTAAAGCAGTGCCTCTAATGCCACATTTTTCCAATTTTACCAGTAATGAATTATGTGAGACAAAATCGAAAGCCTTCGACATGTCAAAGAAGAGTGCAGTTGTATAATTATTAGCATTAAGGCACGTTAGTGTCTCATTTACCATATCGAAAACAGCATGTGTAGTAGATTTTCCCCTCTGGAACCCATACTGAGTGGGATTCAGGACATGATACTTGTCAAAGAACGATGTGAGTTTAGTATGCATAATTTTTTCATATACTTTTGACAAAATTGGCACGAGCGCAATAGGGCGGTAATTATTCAAAATTGATTTTTTGTCTTTTTTGAATAAAGGCTTAATCAAGGAAAATTTAAGTTTATCAGGAAAAATACCAGAGATTATTGATAAGTTTATTAAAAATGCCAAAACCCTACCTATTTCTTTGTTGCATGCCTTAATTACTTTAGTACAAATGCCGTCATACCCTTCTGAGTCACTATTATTCAAGGTCATTATTACTTTATTTATATCATATTCGTCAACAGGGTGTAGATAAATAGAATTATTTAAAATTAGATTGGATTTATTTTTTGGTATATTATTTTGGATATCTTTGTTTGTCAATTCAATGAAGAAATTATTAAAAGTATTTGCGATTTGTGTAGGAATAGTAATAAATTTGTTGTCATATTCAATAAAGTCAATGTGGTTATTATATTGCGGCTTGGTATCTATTTCATCCTGTATGACCTTCTAAGTAGCTTTGCAAGTATTTTTGCTGTTTATCACATATTTATTATTAGTTATTTTTTTAGAACATAGTATGCATTTTTTAAGTAGTTTTGAATAAACTTTGTATTTGTGTTTATTTTGAGGAGTTTTTCTCCTATAGTAGTTTTTTCTTAGGACTCTATTTTTCGCGCAGCTATTCCTGATTCCCTTAGAAATCCATTTTAAATAGGATTTTGAAGAAAGTCTAACTTTTTTATATGGGAAGCAGAGTTCGTAAAGAAGGCATAGCCAATCATGAAATTTATTAAACGCAGTATTAGGTTCTGTTTCGCTGTAAACATCGGAGAAGGAAAGGCTCGCCAAATATTTTTTAAACTTATCTATATTTTCAGAAGAATAGTCCCTCCTATAGGTGTATAAGGTTTTTGGGGGGAGTAGTCTTTGATATAGTACTGAAACCAAGAATTTGCGCAGTATCGTGGTCCGATAAACAGAGAGGGAGGTTAAGTCCAGTTGCACCTTTAATATTACTAAATATATGGTCAATACATGATAGGTCTCTAGTAGGTTCCGTGATATGCTGAGTAAGATTATAATTTTGGAGAATATCTAGTAAGTTGTTGGTCACATTATTTCTTATTAAAGTATTTATGTTGATATCTCCCACAATCACAATTTTTTGCTTCGAGTGCTTATGCAAATATTTACTAAGCACAAACTCCAGTTTATCGAAAAAACATTCAAAATGCCTTTTTTTGTAGCAGTTGAAGAACGGTATACGCAGACAATAATTATGTTGTGATAAGGTATTTTTATTGAGCAACATTCAAAATGAAAGTTGGCTGAAGCCTCGTCGAAAATGGTTACTTGCTTGAATGCTATACCTTTTTTTACCATTATGCAGGTTCCACCCCTTTTCTTGTTTCGTGAGTAGTGGGCCGCAAGTTCGTAATTATGTATATTGATATTTTTTTTCCTCACCACACTTTATGAAAGTCTCTGAAAAACAAAGCACATCCGGGGACAAATCTTGATTTAGTTCCGAGAGAGTCACTTCCATAAGTTCTTTTTTTGAGGATAATCCCTGTATATTTTGATGAAGGATTACGAATAAATTGTTATTATTGTTAGGAACGAAAAAAATCATGAATTTTGTTTTCGAGTTTTTGTGTTGTTTTATTTGGTGATTCTTTTGCTTTAACAGGGAAGTAATATGGTATTGTGCCTTTTTTATATACTTGCATGTTCGCGCTATTCTTTGAAATGTAATTGATCTTATTTGAATCCTTTTTTAATTTTAGCCCATTTTTAATATAATCGTGCTCATATTTTAGATAATCTATTTCTATATTCAATTTAGTACATATTTTATTTTTAGACGATATTGTATTTAAGCTGGTGCAGTTATTCAGTAATTTGTTTATGTCAATAAAAGTACAATTTTTATAGTTTTTTACAATAAGTTTGATTTCAGCATTAAGTTTATGAACATTTAGATAATTATTTTGTTGTACGCTTAACAAAAATATTTTACAATGCTTTAAGTTACATAGCGTATTGCATAAGTTAGTTAAAAAAAGGTAAGGATTTTTGTCATTACAACCTGCAGATAATATCAGTATGTCATTATTGTTTAAAGAATCTTGTAAATAGGTGCAGCTTCTTAGTACTTCTGAGCTCGATGCGAATGGTTTTACCATACCAGAGACGGTGTAGCAATCATTATGTAATCCAGTACGTGATAATTTTAATTTCGCTGCCAAGCCTCTAGCCTGTTGATCACCGATTATATGGATAATAGGCTTCCTCATCTTTTTTTGATTAGCAGAGTCATCTAGCGACGAGGCTGGAGAACTATTATGGATTTGATGACTCGAGGTGCTTAGATCGCCGGCGCTTCCTCGATGACTTTTTTCTTTAGTCCTAGATGGCGTGCTACTAATTTGTTGTAAATTATTAGAGCTACATTCCTCCTTTTCATCTTCCAGAAAATCCAAGACTGTTTTGTTTATACTCTTTCTGGTTTTTCTGGTCGTGGTAGTTTTTTTTAAGGTTGGGCTATATATATCTGCTAAAAATTTTGTTTTTATTTCATGTTTGCAAAGTAATTGTTTTAATTTTGTATTTTCTAATAAAATATTTTCTATTTCAGCTTCAGCAATTTGTAGTTTTTCTTTTAGTTCTCGATTTTGTGTCTCAAGATTTTCTATTCTATCTTCCATGTTTAACTTTCTCAAATCTGGGCAGCTATTAGTTTTGCTATTTTGCGTTAATATGGTCATTATATCCGAGTTTTCATCGTCAGTTAAGATCTCGAACGAGTTATTTGTAGGAACATTTACTGACAAATTGTTTTGCGCATTTAAGAAGCATTGGTCACATTTCCATTTTGCTTTATTATCCTCGGTCATCAATGAAAACCTCTTAACAGAAACATTTGCGCAATCAATATGGTAATTTTCTGTACAAAAGAAACAGCATAAATAACTGTCACGTTTCAATATTCTTTTATTGCATTTTATACACTTTACTGCCATCCTGTCGCTCCGTCAAACACTTATCGCGTTTTTTGAATAAAAATAGCAATTATCAATCCACAAAAACAACAAAGTATGGAATACGGCAGGTAGATTTGAACCTCGAGTTCACGGTTATGTTAACAGACCAAGGCGTTGATTCCGCAAGGCTACGATGTAATATATCTTAACGTCGAAATTTATTTATATATATTTCTTGTCACATGTTTAAACGGGTCTTTGGCGGTTATTATGAATCATCTTAATGGAATTTCTTGTCACTACCACCACTTTATTAATAATTTTATCACTTTTTGTTAATCATAAGGGTCACTGAGAATTTTTATAGGATTGTTATTGATTTATATTATATTTTTCCACGTTTTTTACACTTATATTCACTATGATTATGCACTAGTTACCACTTATTTTTTTGAGTTTTTTTATAAATTATGTGGTATTTTTTAAATGTTTATGGTATTAACACCAAAAGAACGTTATTGTCTACAATTTTTTTGAAAATTCACTTCACAATTTTTTGTTTTAATCAATGTTTTGCTGAACTGTTAATAAAACAGCTAATTAAGCGTCATTTATACCGTAAAATATCATTTTGAATAATGTAAGTTTGTTATCAAATAAAGAGAAAAATAATAATCAAAGAAATTTCTTTGTTATACCTATTATAAATCTATCTATTCTAGGTACATATGACTTCTATGGTCTTAACTTCTACACAAGCAGACTAGTCCGTAAAGTTCGAGACGGAGAAACCCTCTCACACTGGCCGCTGGGAAGTGGCTTTCCAGAACTCGGTGCGGTTATAGAAGTCCACGCTTCTTGGGAGAAAACGGCATCACCTTGGTTTTTGGTATGGACCGTCTGCCTTAAATATATGTTTAGTATCATTTGCAACATGCTTTCATCAGATTTAGGAAAGGAATGCCTCGGCGGTTCGGAGATGTACTTAGAAGGAATTAATGAGGAAAGAGTGACAAAGGAAATGTATGCTGCAGGAATAAGAAACTGAGTCGACAAGGGATACCCTTGGCTGAATTTTATCGAGTAAATTGGCAATTTATTGAAGATGGGCCATTGGACTAAGAGTTGCCCTAATCGATAAGCATGTATGCGTCGATAAATGGATGCGAAAGACGCGAGAGAGGTGCGTTAGGATCATGCCGATATAGTCGCTACCTAACCCTCTGGGTGACAGACGCGGAAGGTTTTGTATTATGCATAGGTATATATTTTCAACGGATGAATTAAATTTAGGCTAGGCATTAATAATGATTAATTCAAATTATCAGTTTTCGTTTATGTCGACCCTTGGAAAACGTATGTCGTCACTAAGAGGACAATATCAACTACTTTGGGAATCCCTGTTTTAGTGTGTGCGCGGGAATTACATAATTTAATTCCTCCCTTCCTTTCTATGTGGTATCGTGATTGCTTTTCTGGTATGACCATTGACGGACCCAATTCAAACGATTAATAATTTAAAGCATAAATAAAAGGCAGTATGGCGGCCTTGGTGCATCCATGATAACGTCCTATAAACTGTTAATTAAAAGATGTATTTCCTTTTTGTTTTAGGATAGTATATAATTCTTTTTATACAACTGATGGGACGAACGAACAGTCCATCTGAATGTAAGTGGCTTTTGTATGGATTAACCAACTTCAAGTGGAGAAAACGATATAAGGCTATGAAATGCTTTACATCCTGTAATCATACCGACTCTCTATACTCTTCAGACAGGAACACAGTAGTGCAAACACTACATTTGGCAGCAGAAAGAGTTAAGAGGATTGTATCTACCCAGGTGAACTTCTAGATAAAAAGAGAGTTCTATTAACAAGAGAATCATCCTCCACTTATTAAGTATATCAGAAACAGAAACAGAAACTTTTTTATTCAATATGAATTACAAGTAATACTTATTGAAAGTATTTTTTTTTCATTACCACTGGTTCGCAAAAAACACCTCTGTCCTGGGAAGAACCAGCAAGAAACTCAACGGGACAATTTTTGAAAATAAGAGCTTGTATGTTACAATTAACAACACAAAACAAATTAGAACTAGCTTGGTAGCGATCACCCTTCCCAGGGGTTATTATCATCTATAAATTCCTTAATATTATAATAACCCTTTTTATACAAACTTAGTTTAATAAAGTTTTTGAACTTTGTGTATGTCAAATTTTGTATATTTTCTGGGATTTTGTTTAAAAGCGTATACATCGCCCCAAGAACAAATTACTGACTCGATGGAGTCGAAATCATCTATACATATAATAAATCTGTAGAAAAGTCGTGTCCGTAATTGTAATATTTTCTGGATAAAATAAGTCCAGGGGACTCAATATAGGGCACTTCATTGCCCATTATTTTTTTAATTTACCGCTGTCCATCGATTTTTTAATGATATTAACTGCTAATATCTGCCTCATTCGCGCACGGTACGAAATGGAGTGATGGATTTCATTATGACCAACACACGACTTACAAATAATTGTTGAAAAAAATTCTAAAACGTTTTTAGAATTTTTATCTGGTTGTTGAGACATTTCATATTAGTCTTCACGCTATATGACAACGCCTCTGCATTTTGATTCGTATTCGAGCAAAGATGTAGATATCTATGGGCTACAGCAACCACTTACCATCAGGTGGGCTGTGTGCTCGTTCAGCCCGTAAAAGTACACTGCTGTTTCAGAGCCATTCTGGTCATTGTTGGAATCATTAAAGCCCCATAGTTAACTTAATTGTCATGCTTGACGACGGCACTTACTAGACGTGAGCACCGTTGATGCTGCCTCCCGTTGCTAGTCGGGGTGTTTTACGCCTGGCGTGAACGCGATAGTTTACCGCTGATATATCGATTTCTTATGATATTAACTGTTAATAACTGCCTCATTCGCGCACGGTACGAAACGGGGTGATGGATTTCATTATGCACCCAACACACGGCCAACAAAAAATTGTTGAAAAATAGTTTTGTATTTGAGTAAGTTTACAATACGTTTCTTCCGCGTGGAGATGGTGTAAGAATATCCTCTACCCCATATCATCCCGTAGGTGTCGCAAAAGGCAACAAAAGGCTACAGTGCAGGAGATGGGCATCAGCGTACCTACTGCTAAAACAGATTTAAAAAATTGCAATTATATACCACACATTTATGGAGGAGGCCTAAGCTTGACATTGGATGGATTTTTGATAGACTGCAATGGTTACGCTAGTTTTCAATTCTTGTTTATTTCAACAGGTATGGCTGGCGATCACTGAGGACGGTGTCAACGTAACAAGGTACACTGCGTGGACGTTGGTGGATAATTTTGAGTGGTTTGACGGGTATACGTAAGTATTCATTTCAAGGCTTTAGACTAAACATCGGAATGGCATATTTGGTCCTAATTTTTATTAATTTAAAGTGACAAACGAACTGACAGTCCACCACATTGTAAGTAGCTCCTGCAGTTCATGGATATCTACAAACAACTTCAAGCAAAAAAGGCAAGGAAGGAAGATGCGTTGTTACCTCTGAGGACTAAGATGGAAAAACTCATAACTTGTAATTACACTGGATCTCTTTATCCTTCAGACTGGTGCACAGCGGTGCCGCCATGTTGTTGGGCAGAAATAGCTAAGAGAGTGGTACCTACACGAACGGACCGAAAGAAATGGTGTAGACTGCGGTGGTACCTGTCTGGACAGACTCCTGGGCGGAAATAGAAGTCCAACTACCTAGGAAACTATTCTTTACTATTTTTAATGATTTAGACTTATGTAAACACGAGGCGATTCATCATCGTGTATGTAAAGCTTCAGGGAGCTGCGCACTTTACTTCTCTACCCTTTAATATGGAGAAAGAATGGGGAGCTTCAGCTTTACTAGCTCAACGAGAAGGGACTTTATATGGAATACCGGCGTGGTGACCGACTTTGTGCTCTACCACCTCAGCCCAATAATAATCGGGGCTCCAATATAATAATAGTAGAGCAAAAACGCCACAGCGTTCATATTTTTCTATAGAGACATATGCAAATATATGAACACTATGGCATTTTAGCCGGTAAAAAATTGACGTTACTGGTCGTCCAGAAAAAGACTACTAGATGGAATGCATGGTCACTCAGTAAGAACTCAACTCTTTGGCCCACGTTCGGTTTTTTTTTGCACTTTTATGCATTTACGAAGATTAAAACCCTGAATGTCCGGGCCTCTGGGCAACCTCTCGCCACAATAAAGGAAGGCCTTTGCCCAATAATGGAACGTACTTGTATATAGGATGTAACTTAATATGAAAATTGAGAGATTCTTACAGGGATTGTCACAGTTCATTAACAAAGCGTGTTTTTATTTTTTACTTTTTATTTTATTACTTTTCAGAACTAAATTCGGCTTGTACGAAGTGGATTTCGAGGATCCGAAACGCAAGCGTACCCCACGCGCGTCGGCAAAGTATTACAAAGAAGTCATACGAACTCATACCTTTGACGTAGCAAATAAAAATAATTACGATGAACTGTAGCCATTGCAATTTTATTTTTGATACCTTCGTTTTGACATTCCGGGGTTGGCAACTGAAGTGTCATCATTATTATCTATACATATTTATAGCCTGTGTTGGCGACGCGCCTATAAGAATATTTCAATTTATTAGTTAACCGATTACGAATAGCTTCTAAAAAGCAAATTATCAAGTAACAATATTCCGATAAGAAAATGCTTAGTTGAATCTTAAAGAAATATCGAATTAATGATATGAAGGTCTTGGGTTCGACTCCCAGGCCGGAATAGTTTATCGTTTTCTTAGTAATATCTCTTAATAAATTCATATAGGGAATTTTTAAGATATAAATTATGTTACCGGATTTGTTCCCCGGTTGAAATCATCTTTCCAATGATGTAAATTTAAAGCAATATTAAAATAAAGTTAGAGATCGGATTTATTCCCCGGTCAAGATGATCACTTTGTGAGTAAATAGAATTAATGGAAATTAATTGCATAAGTATTGTCTTATATGAGTTTGATATGTTTTGTATGAAAACAAATGCCTATTTTCTATGATTGATTTATGAAAACATTCACTTATATTGTTTGATAAGAAACATGATAACTGATAAGAATCTGATTAGAGGTAGTTTTCGGCGTTTGAGAATTGAGTAGAATCATTTATTCACCTAGTATTGTCGATATTAGTGTATATTAAACTTTCCATTTTTACTGATAGTCGATAGCCGTGCAAAAGTTAGTTGTTCAAATAGTGTGAGTTCATAGACGCACGCTAGCCACGTACTAAGGAGGCCAAATATGTAGAAATTTAAATATTTGCAATTTCAGCAATTTATGTAAAAATGACTTTTAAAACATTTCAGATTGATTGTACGTGTAAAAATGTGAATTCTGTGTTATTTTTATGTGAAAATTCCTGTGAATAATTGAAATAATGATAGTTTTGTATAAGAAATTTAAAAGTGTTTTAATAGTGAAATGAATAGGAAAAAATGTAAATTAAACTATTGTATTAGTTAAGATATGTATAATTTCAAGTGGAAAACATTGTTTTAACTTTCTATGTTAAATATTTAAGAAATTTCAACTTCGAACGTGTAAGTAAAATAGGCATATTTTGTTAAATAAATAAAAGGTTTTTTGTGATATGAAAATGTAATGTATATCGTAGTATAGATATTTTTTTGCGCTATCTATACAAGTAAATTGTGATAATGTATGACTTATGCAAATAAAGTTATTAAGTAAACCGTGAGAGAGTGATAGAATAAATTCATGTAATTGAGTTGCGCAAGCGCGCGAATGGCGCGGCTCACTTTCGCGTATAGCTCTGGGGTAGCTCAGTAAACGGGTTTTCTTGCAATTCGTATATGAAGGATTTCCTAGGTGTGCGTTGTTTGCAGTTAGCAGTGGCTGTAAATGACCGCCGGTACGACATACTCCGCCGAACGTTGAGTCCCGTGATTCCGTGAGGCGTCGAGGTCACCGGCCCCTAGGTGATTCTTGGGCACTTTATGCGCTCCGTGCATCCTGTGCCTAGTCGCGACATAAAGTGCCACCGTTGCACTTCCCCCAACCCTTTTGGTGTACAAAAGGGGTAGGCAGTGCCCAGAGTGTTGATAGCCATAAACTTTTATCACCATAGTTTAGATAGGGCCTTTTAGAAATCGACTGACGTTGTTAGGGTAGTAACATGTCAGGTAGGGATAAGGGGGAGCCACCTCCTTCAATAAGAAAACCACCAGACAAAAGAAAAGGTGTGTTGGATCGACCACTGGTTGTGAGGGATCTGTCGAACCCGGAACGCACGAGGGTCGTGTCCTCCTTTTCACAGATCCCCCAACGTAAACCCGTCTCGCCACGGAAAGAGCTCGTACCGGGCGTCGCGCTCACGCCGGCCGTATCTGAGCATACGGTCAGGCAAGAACCCCAACAGCAGCGGGCAGTGAAAAGGGCTAGACGCCACACGCCACCGGAGACTGAAGCCTCTTTATTTGAAAAGAGGCAAAGGATAGGCTCCCAACTGTCCTCCGATGAAGCACCATCCACATCGGAGGAGGATGACGATTACCACCATCGGGTGACGCCGAAGAAGGTGTTAAGATCTCCACCCAAATCACCATCTCCACCGCAACTCCCCCCCCGCTCCATATCTCCGGATCGACGAAGCCGAGACTCGGCCCAGTATGAGCAGGGGGGGTCAAGAATCCTATAGTTGGGGGTCCACTACATATGCCACCCTCGCTGCATCCGCCGGCCGGTCCTCGCCGGCGGCAACGATTAATCCGTCCGGGCTTCCACAGGACGATGGCCAACAGCCATCTACCAGTTATGCTCATATGGTAGCTGCGCCAGCAGTACCGCGACCACCTCTGGCGGCAGTGCCAACTGAGAAGCCTGCCGACCAAGACAAGACCCGCTATCCGCCCATAGTGGCTGAATGCCTACCGGATTGGACGAGGCATTTTAAGGAGCTCAACAGAAGGTTGGGCCACCCCTTAAATGCCCGTCCATTCGGGAAGGGCGTGAGGTTTACACCGCTAAGCGCGAACGAGTTCAGGACAGTCCAACGCTACATGATTGAGCTGACTAAGGAAGTAACAACATTGTCGTGGTATTGCTATACCCCGGAGGAGGACAAGCCCACTAAAGTGGGCATCCGGGGGCTACCAATGGGCACGGACACCAAGGACATAGAGGAGGCTATTAGGGCAAAAGGCTTCCAAGTCAAATATGTCAAGGCAATCCCTCCGCGTAGAAGCAGACCTGGCTGCATCTACTTTGCCCAGTTTGACCACCTGAGCCTGGAGCAGCTACAAGAACTGTACAAAATCGACGAACTCCTCTTTATGAGAGGAGTAGTCATCGAGGCCTGGCAAAGGAAAGCAGGACCGGCTCAATTCCACCGCTGCCAGGCCTTCGGACATGCATCCGCAAACTGCTTCAGGCCAGTGAGATGCGTGCGCTGTGCCGGGGAGCACATAGCAAGCCTTTGCCCACGGGGTAGAGAGGAACAACCTACATGTGCCAACTGTGGAAAAAACCACACGGCAAATGACCGCCGCTGTCCAGTCCTGAGGAGGACTGCAAGAAGGCAGGGGATAACTTTGCCGGGGCTACTCCCGGAGGCCCCTAAAAAGCCCCCCTCAGAGTCGCCCAAAAGCTGTAACTATCCAGCAAGACGGGTGGGCCACCATTACCGGGAAGGGCAGACAACCAGCCCCCCCACCTCCCGTAACACCGAAAGAAACGGTGGAACCCGCAGAGACAAGGGCAACCACCGGGGCGACTCTACAGCCCCCCCGCCAACCCTGCCACAGAACGGCAATCCTCTAAGAAGAGGAGGCGGGAGAGGAGCCGGAAGAAGTCGCAGCCTCCTCAGGCTGTCACCTCTACCCCGACACCAACTGCACCAGTAGCCTCACAGGCGCAGGTTACTAGGGAGAGAACCAGAAGTAAGGGTAGAATGCCGGAAAGGGCTGAGCGCAGAGCCCGCTCCACTGGAAGAGAGCGCCCTACCCAAACACACACTGAGCAAACCCAGGACACCCAACGCCCGAGACAATTGCCAACGCCTTCTTATAGGAGAACACCTACTGCCGGCCTCGAAACAGCAGACGCAATCCAGCGTCTGGTTGGTATTGCCATCGAGGTCGGCATGCAAGTACTGACAGACATCAGGACCGGAACAGACCCAATCACAGCCATCATGAAGGCGCTGGCAAACCTCCTAGCCCGGCACTACGGAGGAGAGTAACCTGCGCCTCCTATACTGGAACCCGGACGGTATACAGCAGAAGCTGCATGAACTCCGCACAGTTGCCCAGCAACAGGATCTGCACGTCATCTTGCTGGGAGAGACGAAGCTCAATCCAAGGACGCACATAAAGCTGCCCAACTACCACCGCTCAAGGGACGAGGTCACTGCTCAAGGGGCTGCCTATAGAGGGACGGCAGTTCTGGTGAGGAGGGACATCGTCCATCAGGAACTGGAATTACCACCATACCAGTCAATGCGTTCTATCGGCATAAAAATGGAGGCGGCGGGCGAGGAACTTAGGATCTACGCAGCATACCGCCCGCCAGGGACTCCATTTTGCCCCTCAGACATCCGGACAATAATGGAAGGCGACACGCCCACTATCGTCGCCGGGGACCTAAACACCAAACACCCGGCGTGGGGGTCCAGAGTGATCACCCCGCCGGGTCGTGAACTTTATGAAGATGCAGAAAACAACAACTATGACGTTTTAGTTCCCGAGGAGCCAACGCACATCCCGTCCAACCCACGGAGCTATCCGGATGTATTGGACATCGTGCTCTCCAGGAACATCAACTACCCGGTAGTGGTAGAGGTGCTATACGACCTGAGCTCTCAGCACCTCCCGATTCTGATAACCCTTGGCACAAAGGCAGTGACTACGCCGCCCAGAGCAACCAAGACACGTGTCGACTGGAGGCGCTATGCACAACACCTGCAAGCGAGACCTCCAGCACACATGCCTATAAGCACAGCGGACGACGTAGAGGCCGCTGCTACTAGAATTACTAAAAACATCCAAGAGGCCCTCAACGCGGCCTCTACGATCGTTCCGATAACAGCAAGGCGTGACGATCTGCCGCGTGAGATAAGCGTGCAGATCAAGCGCAAAAGAGCGCTGAGAAAGCTTTGGGCGCGTACTCGCTGTCCCAGATTAAAAACGCAACTAAACACCGTATCGGAGGAGCTGTCGGTGGCAGTCCAGACCTACAGAGGGGAGGCCTGGGAGCGGCGCATATGGAAGGCGGATGAGCATGATGCGTCGCTCTATAAACTGAACCGACAGCTGACCAAAACTAGACCTCCCGTTTGCCCACTGACCAACAGTGTGGGCGAACGTTGCTATGATGCCAAGGGCAGAGCGGATATCCTGGGAGAGCACTTCGAGGGGCAATTTATGCCGAACCCAGTGAGTGCGGAGTTCATGGAGCTTCATGCCCGGAAGGAGAGTCGCGTACAGGAGTTCCTGTCGGCG